TCAGGATTAATGGCCAGCAGCTTGTAGCACCGCACAGATTTGTCAATGAATTCTACAGTATGTCAAATTGAATGTATCGCTAGCATCAGGGTCACTGTCATTATTACAGTTCAAACTAAACCAAGATTTGGTGTTGCATTTCCAACTTGTTTTACAGTCATTGCCCTGCCACGGGGACACTTCAGTTTACCTCCCTTTTTTGCAATTAAATCCCAATCCAATCATGAAAAACTATATGACGTTGGAAAGGTTAAAGACTTTTACCTAGGGTATAAATATTACCAGTTTTACCAAAAATAAATATTACCACAGTTTTTTGTTATGTAGGATGAGTAATAGAAAAAAAAAAAAACATTTACTGTCCCCCTACAACCTGTGGGACCATTTACAGTTTCAATTTAACCATAATATTATAATCTAAACAAAGCAATCACAACAAACTATAAATCGTTAAAAATCTTAAATTAACTACTTTCAATATTTTATGACTGAGTTTTATTCATAATACTGAACAACAGTTATTTATTCATTTGCAACAAGGATACTCAGAGTTGTAAAGCATTACTTTGCTACAGCAATCCAAATATAAAAAAAGAGTTAAATGTTATTTTGAGGCTAAATTCAACTCAAATACCACCAAACTGCCCATGCTACTTAAGAATTCCATGTCTATTTGACAAATATTGTCAAAAGTATGAAAAAATATAGTTCATATTTCTCAAAACACATGGGGGCGCTCTTGTATGGTCACCAATGGAAACTAAAGGTCATCTGGTGGTCATGTCTGGTACTGCGGCCAAGCAAAATCTTACTGAAAGCTCCTTTTTTGAGATGTCAACTTTAAATTTGGAATATAATTTGTTCAGATATTTATCAGTCTAAACAAAGCAATCATAACAAACTATATATCGTTAAAAAGCTTAAATGATCTACTTTCAATATTTGATAACTGAGTTTTTATACATAATACTGAACAACAGTTATTTATTCATTTGCAACAAGGATACTCAGAGTTGTAAAGCATTACTTTGCTATAGCAACCCAGATATAAAAATGTGTTAAATGATATTTTGAGGCTAAATTCAACTCAAATACCAACAAACTGCCCGTGCTACTTTAGAATTTCATGTCTATTTTACAAATATTGTTAAAAGTATAAAAAAAATATAGTTCATATTTCTCAAAACAGATGGGGACGCCCTTGTATGGTCACTAATGGAAACTAAAGGTCACCTGGTGGTCATGTCTGGTACTGCGGCCAAGCAAAATCTTACTGAAAGCTCCTTTTTTGAGATGTCAACTTTAAATTTGGAATATAATTTGTTCAGATATTTAGCCTTGATTTTCCGCTAAAATATGTTTTGTAAAATACATATGTCATGTATTTTATTAACATAAATTTATTGTTTTATTATTTTCATAAACAAAGACACATAACATTTGTTTACACTTCAATTTTTAAACTTTTTTCACATCCGTCTTCTTTAAAATGAGACCAGGCTTAAATCTGTGCACCATAGTGTTGGAGATTGTGAACATAAAATTTGTCATTCTCTGTCTTTTTTTTCCTTTTCTTGATTTCCGTGAGAGTGTGTGCGCTGTAAATGTGTGGTTGGTGTCGGTTTTGATTACATTCAGTGCCAGACAGCATGCCATGAGGAATGGAGATTTAAACCTCTTAATCAACAAGGCAAACCAGCCCAAACCAGCCAAATAACCAGATTAACAGCAGAGATACAGCAAAGAGAGGGAAGAAAATAGTAGAAAGACATTAAATAAAAGATTGATTTAGATTTGAAAATACTAAACTAAAAATAAATCAATAGATAAAAAATGTATTGATCATAATAATCAAAATATGAAAACGCTTAATTTATATATATATATATATATTTATATATATATAAAACATATTTCAACAAACATGCTTGTAACTAGAATAAAGGGGTGAGGGTTTGCCTTTTTCTAAAATATCCATAACATATTTTAATAATTAATTGAATATGAATTTATTGAATAGGACAGTCACTTAAAATGATGAAGCATCTAATTTTCAAAGCAGTCCCTGTTTAATTTAATTAATATAACTCAAATATTAAATGTGAGTTTACCATGCTTGGCTTATAAACATGCATTAGTACAGAGTACAGTTCATTTAAAAATAAATAGTTATTCACTATTTAAGCAACCTAAAGTTGTTTTAAATATTTATGAGTTGCTTTCTTCTGTTAATAACACAACATTTCAAGAAATCTGAAAACTGTAACCATTGATATCCATAGTAGGAAAATACTATGGAAGTCAATGGTTGCAGGTATCCATACTCATACTCAACCAAACTCATAAAGTGTTCATTTTTGGGTGAACTATCCCTTTAAACTCTGTCAGCTCAGTAAAATCAAAGACTATAGAATACACAAGGCATGTCAGACAGTGATTGCTATAGACCAGGGATCGCCAATCTTGTTCCTGGAGGGCCGGTGTCCTGCAGATTTTAGCTCTAACCCTATTTAACACACCTGAACAAGCTAATCAAGAGCTGCGTCCCAAATCGCATACCTATGCACTATTCTACGCCATTTTGTAGTATACTGTAAATAGTGTAAGTAGTGCGTTCACACTGAAAACTCTAGTGAAATAATAAGTGCACTTTAATTAACCGGATGATGCACTCATTCAGCCGGTAAAATGAAGTGTGTAATGATGGACACTTCACGCACTCAACAATTGCAGGTTTGCTCACGTAGCGGAAGGGGCAGAGCTATCGGGCACACATGTTGGATAACTTTATTTATTTGAGATGGTAAAAAAAAACTCTTCTACGAGAGTGATTACAGCGCCTCCCGATGGTGAATGCGGTTATACTCACGGCAGGTATTATTTGATAATTCGGTCGCTTATTTCACTGATTTGGCAAACATCATTAGAGAAACGGTTTGAATTTCCGCTTAGTTAAAAAACATTAGTGCTCCATTTGGGACGACACTACATACATATACTATCCTGTTGATTGTGTAAGTCCATAAGTACATAGTGCATAGTGTATAGCAGGGGTGCTCAATCCTGTATCTGGAGATCTACCTTCCTGTACACAGGGCTCGAAATTGCGACCATTTTGGTCGCATATGCGCCAGAAAATTAATCTATGCGACCTTATAATATATTTGGGCGCATTAGTGCGACTGCTGATAATGGTTGTAGTGCGACCTGTTTTGATTTTTTGTAAAAACGTGCTGAATCGCTCTTCCCTGCCGCAATATTGGTTCATATTAGCTGTCAATCACTCAAGGTATTCCGCTGTCAGATGACAGGAAAGGAGCTTTTATGACCACGGGAAATGCAAACGGCTGAAGAGTAAAAACTTAAAGCACACAGGTTTGCAAACCCCACCTAAAATTGAGGTGCAGATGAAAGCGATCATGACACGTCACGTGGTGAATAATAATCCACCAGCTGAGATCAATCGAGTACGCGCTTCATGGAGAAGGCGCCCGAATCTCCATGCGTCGCATTCACTGCGTGTTCAGCGCAAATGTCTACTAAAAGTCAAATCTAATACCATCGCCAAAGAAGCTCGCCTTTACTAAGTTTACACTGAAACTGCGGCTCATAACAAACAGCGGTATTCCGCCGGTGGTCATCGCAAGAATCTTGCGCTGCCTGCTCATAAATTGGGTCGGCTGACTCGCCAGCTTTTCCACAAACACAGAAAAATGAAGATCATCTCAGACTGAACCTTTAAATTGACACAAACTGAAACCAAATCTTTTAAAGAGTGATAGAAGTGAGACTTTACTTACTTTCTTTTGTCTATTCTTTTTTGAGGTGTATATTATTTTTTTATTTATTTACTGATGACTGCTTTGCAGCTTTCATCATTGAATTGAATGATTTATTATAATCTTTTGTTTGTTTTGTAGCAGAAATATTATTTATTAAATTGACATGCATATAAATACAGCAGTACAAAATAAATATTTCTTACTGCAATGCTTCATTTTTGTTTGATGCAAACTATACAATTATTTTTCATAAAGTAACAGACTTTTAATAGCAGATAACCTACATTCATGCACATTCAAGGCAGTATCATAATGAGAAATGTTATTCATTTTTACTATTATTGTCATTTTCATCATCATTAATATTCTATAATTATTAGACATTCATTTTGGAATTATTGCACACAAATATCAATGTCTTCACAGCATTAGTTAGATAGTTGTTTCTGGTTTTTGTCAGTCAAATCACTATTAATGTTGTTTTAAAATACAATAAAAACAATTTGCAGCGGTGCTCAATCATTTTTGGTGGTTACTCCTAAATTTTTTCTGGTGCTCCTAAATTTATTTTGGTGCTCCTAAATATTTGAAGTTGGGAGCACCGGTGCTACCAAGTAAAAAAGTTAATTTCGAGCCCTGTGTACAGTTTAGCTCCTACACTGATCAAACCCACCTGAACCAATTAATTAGGACCTGAAATCCACTTGATAATTACAGACAGGTGTGTTTGGTAAGGGTTGCAACTGAAATCTGCAGGAAGGTAGATCTCCAGGAACAGGATTGGCCACCCCTGGTGTATAGCAAGCCATTTGGAACGCAGCTAAGGTCTTACTAAGTATACTTGAACCACCCAGGTAGGTGTGTTGAGGCAAGTTGGAGCTAAACCCTGCAGGTCACCGGACCTCCAGAAACGAGATTGTTGACCCCTGCTATAGACTGACGATTCTCTGAGAGAGGGTCTGAGTTTCTGCCGATTTTGTGCGACTCAAATGTTTAGAAATGAAACTAAAGAGCCAGTTGTTGTTTAAATGTATTATTGATTCCTAAAATGACATTTAATCATAAGCTAGGCAAGCATTTAATATTTCCCCATTCAAACAGAATGCCTGAGCATACTGCCCAAGAGGTGTTACAAAGACGGCCACTTAGAGAAAGGACCTGGCTTAAAGGAACTTTGGTATAATACAATAACTATAGGCTCTTATCTGAGCATCTCACCGTGGCTGTTACAGCGCGAGGTCTCCACCAGCCGGTTGTCCTGATCGTAACACACCATGGCCTGGTATCGGTAGCCCTGTCCACACTCCTTCATTCCCTCCGGCAGGATACAGTCAGACCAGTTTCCCACCGGCTGCGCGTTGTACTTGTCACAGGGACAGTATTGAGTCTCGCTCAGCGGATACATCTGACTGTTCTTACACTTATCCTTCTTCTTGCTCTTTCCTGTAATCAGAGGAAGACCGTGTTGATTAAAGCTCTAATTACTCCCACTAACGAGTGAGGATGATTACGTCTAAACCTCCTCGTGTCTCGCAGCAGATTTAAAGGGATAGCTCACCCAAAAATGATAATTAACTCATCATTTACGCACCCTCAAGTGCTTTTTTTTCTGCTTGACACAAAATAAGTTATTTTTGAAATATGCAAACACTGACCTCCATAGTAGGAAAAACAAACACTATGGAAGTCAATGGTAGCTGGTTTTCAGCATTTTTCAAAATATCTTCTTTTGTGTTTAACTGAAGAAACTCAAACAGGAAAAACGGCAAAGGATGAGTGAATGATGATTACTTTAAATTGAGTGAACTGTCCCTTTAATACACTGCTGGTGAGTTGGTTAAAAAGTTAACTGAATATTACCAGCATATTCCCACAGTTGATTGATTAACTTAAGAATTACACAATTTTTTGTATTACAATGATTCTATGTGCAAATGAGTCACTGTTTCATTATGTAATGTATTTGCATAAATTTCTAGCACAAACAAATCTGAACGTTTGTTAAAGTCAGGTAATTTTTTTTACATGTAAAAATCAAAGGGTTTTACTGAGTTTGTCACTCTGTAATTGACAAATACTGCCCAGAGTGCCCAATGTTTGAAATGGAAGTCAATGTTTACATGTTTCTAACATGGTATATTTTTTTCCTACTATGGAAGTTAATTTTTAACCTTTTTTCAAAACATCTATTTTTGTGTTCAACTGAAGAACTGAGTTTCTTTCTTCTGGTAATAACACAACATTTCGAAGAAATCTGAAAACCTGTAACCATTGATATCCATAGTAGGAAGATACTATGGAAGTACTATGGTTGCAGGTTGTCTGGCTCCTGTACTAGAAGGCAGGGCTTCTTTCACCATATTGACCGCTACACCGCTATCCCATTCAAACTATACGAGTGACGTGTCTTGTGTATTCTATAGTCTTTGATTTATCTGAGCTGACAGAGTTTAAAGGGATAGTTCACCCAAAAATGAACACTTTATGAGTTTGGTTGAGTATGAGTATGGATACCTGCAACCATTGACTTCCATAGTATTTTCCTACAATGGATATCAATGGTTACAGGTTTTCAGATTTCTTGAAATGTTGTGTTATTAACAGAAGAAAGAAACTCAGTTCTTCAGTTGGACACAAAAGAAGATGTTTTGAAAAATGCTAAAAATGGGTAACCATTGACTTCCATAGTGGGAAAAAAATACTATGTTAGAAACATGTAAAGATTGACTTCCCTTTCCAACATTGGGGACTTTTGGCAGTATTTTGTCAATTACAGAGTGACAAACTCAGTAAAACCCTTTGATTTTACCATGTAAAAAAATTTTTTTTGTAATTTTACCTGACTTTAACAAATGTTCTGATACCTGCAGCATTTTTCAAAACATCTTCTTTTGTGTTCAACTGAAGAAACTAAAAAAAGGGGGTGTGTATGATGATTTTAAATTGAGTGAACTGTCTTTTTAAGACACTGCTGGTGTGAGTAGGTTAAAATTAACTAAAAGTTATCACCATATTCCACTGTTGATTGATTAATTTAAGAATTAAAAACTTTTTAGGCTCTCATGGCTGCCAGTAAAAAGCAATCACACACTAATGGCTACAGCAAGAGCAACCAACCTTAAATAATTGGATAGATGCAACTATTAATATCTATAAAATGGAAAAAAAATCACTTCTGTAGTTAATTCAAAGAAGGCTATATTCCTGGGAAAATGAAGGAAATGGGTTGAATATATTTTAGTTAGAAGACCTGATTTTGTTGCTATAAACGAATAGAAGATGCTCAACTGATAGATAAGTAGAGGCTAATGTGTGTGTATGGTTAAATACACTCATATTGTATTGTGTGATATCCCCATGTGTTTAATAAAGATGGTCATTTGAGATTATTCTGGAAGGAATTACATTATGACATGCATTCTTACCCTGGATGTAAATAGTGCTTTAATGTTTATTATTATTTTTGATATAATTTATTCATTATTTTTTGTCTTTTCTTTTTTCTTTATGCTATTCTTCTTTATATAATTTACCAAAATGTGAGTGCTATGTATAGTTAGTACACCTGACAATAAGAATGACACTTTTTTGTATTACAATGTTTCTAAAATGAGGCATTGATTTATTATGTACTAATTAGCATACATTTCTAGCACAAACACATCTGAAAATTTGTTAAAGTCAGGCTTTGTTTTTTACATGTTAGAATCAATGGGTCGAACTGAGATTTTTTTTCACTCCTTAATTCACAAAATACTGCCAAAAGTCCCCCATGTTAGAAACATGTAAACACTGATTTCTTATTATGGAAGTCAATGGTTACCCATTTTCAACATTTTTCAAAATATCTTCTTTTGTGTTTAACTGAAGAAACTGAAACCATTTTGTGGCAAGTGAAGTATGAGTTATTGATGATGATTCTATTCAATTGGGTGAACTGTCCCTTTAAGACACAGCAGGTCTGAGTAGGTTCAAAAACTAAATGTTATCACCATGTTCCCACAGTTGATTGATTAACTTAAGAATTACACACTTTTTTATATTACAATGTTTCTAAAATGTGCAAATGAGGCACTGTTTCATTATGTACTAATGTGCATACATTTCTAGCACAAACACATCTAAACATTTGTTTAAGTCAGGTTCAATTGTATTTTTTACATATTAGAATTAAAGGGTTTTACAGATTTTTTTTTTCTCACAAAATAATTCACAAAATAGTGCCAATAGCCCTTTCAAAAATGGTTGTACTCATTTATGCGGTGTCCAAATTTGCAGTACATAATGTACATGGTAACTGATAATCGAGTATATTCCAGGGTTAATATGTCACAATGTGTGCTGTACACTGTAAACATTTTTAACAATGCTGCCATAAATATTTTTAGTTGAATCAAATCAACTGAGTCATCTCAACTTAGATCAATCAAGCTGACTAAAGATATCAGGTTAAACTTTGTATAACTTAAAGGGCACCTATGATGAAAATCATCTTTTGGAAGAATTAGAGGTTGTCCACAGTCATATTGGGGTGATAAAAAGACAATCCGCTTGTTAAGTGGTGACGTGTTTGTGACGTATGTAATACTGTTTCCGAGTCCAAGCCGCCACTCATTTGAGTGGAGAAATCATTCGTTTATGATCACGTTTTATTCCTATCACACATTAAAGTTAATTTAAAATAAAATCATAGTGTACACAACAATCTCTGGGCTTGCTGCATAACAAATACCAAAATTTTAACAATTTATAAAAAAATAATCACTTTCTGGCCATCAGATATTAGGCATGGACATATATAATGCGATCGTGATTTTCGAAAGTATTAAATTGCTTTGTAAACATTTATTATTACCATTTAATGAGTCTCCCCATTCAGTTGAATAGAGCGCTTGGACCCGGAAGCCGCTTCGCGTGACGTCACACTTAACAAGCGGATAAGTCTCTTTTATTAAATATCCTGACGTTAAAATAGCATCCAAATCCCTTCCATTTTAAGGCCCACGCAACATGATGTAGGACTGCTGTTTCCATGCCCACAAATTTGATTGACAGCCGTGCATTAACATGTCTCCATAGTAACTTGTATAATCAAATCAACAAGACAGGACGTACGCAAAGCAACTGGAAATAAAAGATCTGTTCGGCTCTCTGTGATCATCAATCATCAACAAATATGATCAAGAATGAGTTTTACAATTTTAAAACGCTTTGCATGGTTATAATAAAGTAAGCGAAATATGGTAAAATCGCTGTAATGCATCACCACAGCTGCGTGTCAGTACAATTATAGAAGCCGATTCAATCCCGGGTTGTGAACGTTAAATCAGATTTATTTTGTACATTCACATAACAGATGTCCATACAGCAGTGGATATTAACTTGTATCCAGTCGCATTTGCTGTGCAAAAACAGTGCAAAGGTATAGATGTGCGCTGTTGTGTGTAAACTTTGTAACAACATTTTGTGTGAATTATCATTGCAGAAAGGCTTGAATTAACTCCACAACAAATACATCAAATAATCATTGGGTTCGTATTGTAGTATTTTTCACAAATGTTACGCGAGATCTGCTTCCTTCATGTCTGTCACTGTGCTGTTTATCTGATGCAGCACATGAGGCACACTCTCACAGGCACGTGGGAACGGTGGGCAGGGACAACTAGCTCATTTGCAGAAAGTGACAAACTTCTGAAAGGTCTAATACATAATCTGATGGGTGTTTTGAGCTGAACCTTTACAGACACATTCTAGAGACACAAAATGCTTATCTTAAATCTTGAAAAAGGAGTAAAATAGATGCCCTGTAAATCATTTAGTTGAAACCTGATTAACTTACCAAAATTAGTTAAAGCAACGTAAAATATTTGTTGCATACGAATACATTTTTAAAGTTCAGTCCCGCATTAAAGACTGATGCGCAGTGTGTTCATTACCCAGCAGGTTTCTCCGGCGGGTCCGGACCCCTACACAGTCTGAGGAGCAGGGGGAGAAGCGGGACCAGCCGCTGAGCTGGCAGTCATCTCGGCATGGCAACTGGCAGAGCTGGCTCACCGCAGGCATACTGCTGGCAGAACGCAAACACTGCAGAACATCCGCCAGACCACCGTCCAGCTGACGACATGACACCGCTGCACACACACACACGCAAACACACACACACACACACACACACACACACACACACAGAGAAAGAGAGAGAAGAGTAGATCCGTAAACACTTCCTCCTCCACTGTGATAAATACACATCTCTAAGAGATTCACAGTCAAATACAGCAGACTACTCTGAGTTTCAGTCCCTCCATAGTAATGATAAATGAAGAAATCTACTTAAAGGCCTCACCATATCTTTAGTAGCTCGTCATTTTTATAAATGCCACAAACTAAGTGTAGAAATTCTATACACAGAAAACACACACACACAAACATACACACACACACACACACACTCACACACACACACACACACACACACACACACACACACACACACACACACACACACACACACAAAGAGAGAAAACCCACACGCAGGGGGGAGAGAGAGAATGCAAACAAAGAAAACACACACACACACACACACACACACACACACATGTACTTACATGCGTTTTCACACCTGCACATACAGACAGAAAACACACAAACACACACAAAAAGACAAAGAGAAAACACACTCAACCAGACACACAGACAGACAGACATACACATACAGACAAACAGAAAACACACACACGGACAAACAACACATGCGTGCACACACGCAGACAGGCAGACACACAGACAGACACACAGACTGACACACAGAGAAAGAGACAGACAAATAGAAAACACACACAAACACACACACATGCGCACACACGCACAGACAGACACGCGCACACACACATGCAGAGAGCACACAGAGTCTCTTTGCTCAAAAAACCCTTTCAATGATGCAGCACTCTTCTGTTGTTTGTATTTAATTCAGATACTGAGTTGTTTATTAGAGGTGTGAGCACAGAACCCAGTGCCAGAACCCCCTGGATTTCCAAGTTTCTCACCAGCAGAAGGTAAACTTAGAGAACTGTGAATGCGACACATTTTTTACTCTTATTTTTCACCTCATTCTTCGCATATTTATAATGTAATAAAACATAATATAGGTTGTCAATCAAAAATAGCTGTTTACTATCTTAAAGAGGTGGTCCAGAGTGTATTTTTAAGGCTGGGTTGTGTTTATAGGATGCAAAGCGACTGTGTGTTCGTGCTTCATTTGTACAAAACCACGTTAATTTTATCATATATCTTACTTTGATTAAATACAGCTACTCAGCTAACAAGAAACGATGAAAACTATTGTCTACTTCCTACGAAACTGCCCTCAAGAGGCTCTGATTGGTCAGCTAACATAATGTGCTATGATTGATGGATCGGCTCCACGTCCCCAGGAAAAGCGTCACGCCTCTATAAGCACGCGCTTTGCCTCTGCTCTGTAAATACTGTCAGTCAGGTTAACTGTTAGCAGTATCTGAGCCTTAATCAGAAAGAAAATGACATGGAATACAACTAAACCTCACGCCTGCTCTCTAAAATAAAATCTGACAAGTGCCTTTCACGTATATTTGGGTTATAAGCATGTGTACGTAATATGAAAACGTTGGCTCAGGTTAGCAATGTCGCATCAAAACAAGAAAGTTTCTTGTTCAACCCTCGGCTGGGTCAGTTGGCATTTCTGTGTGGAGTTTGCAAGTTCTCTCCATGTTGGCAGGGGTTTCTTCTGGGTGCTCCGGTTTCCCCCACAGTCCAAACACATACACTATAGGTGAATCGGATGACTAAGTGCCTGCTCACACTATGCTATCTAAACCGTGCCCAGGCTTTTTTCCCAGATCATTTGAGAAGTGTGAGTGCTCTGAATCGGGCTCAGGCACGGTTCACTTGGCCGGCCCTGGCTCGGTTAGAAGAGGTGTGCCAAAGCGCAGTTTACTTGGGCTTTGGCATGGTACGCTTGTAGTGTGAGTGCAAAACGTGCCTGAGCCCAAAACTGAAGACAAGGTGTGACTTTGACGAGACTGTTTGATATGGATTTATTAATAATTTTTACTGTTCAATGAACGCAAACTGTTGTAGTTTATTAAAGATGCAAACCCCTCATTGCACGACAGCTGCACCTTTAGCAAACCTCATAATACCTGCAGCACGAGGACTTTATAATTGTTTGTGAACGTCAAAAGCTGATCTGTTAGGCGAAATATTTGACTGTGTCACTGCATATCAAACAACTAAAACGCTATAACTAAAGAAATCTCCACTGTGCTGAGTGAAAGTGCTTCTCTACTGAACAGGGCATCATCGATGACGTAAGCGTGCCCAGGCCTGAATGTACTGTGAGTGCGCGACGTCGGGGGAGACAGGAGACAGCCCAAGCGTGCTTTCGCCCAGTTCAAGGCAACTGTAGTGTGAGTTCGCCCTAAATTGGTCGTAGTGTATGAGTGTGTCTGTGAATGCTGGTGTGTATCTGTGTTTCCCAATACAAGGTTGCGACTGAATGGGCATCCGATGCTTAAACATATGCCAGAATAGTTGGTGGTTTATTCCATTGTGGCAACCCCTGATAAATAAGGAAAATGAATGAATGAATGAATGAATGAATGAATGAATGAATGAATGAATGAATGAACGAATGAATGAATGTGCGTTGTATTAATGCGAATCGATGCGTAGTGCAAATGAATGAATGCAGTGTGCAAATGGATGTGGTATATATATATATATATATATATATATATAAAACTATATAAAATGAAATGCTATAACACACTCACTGATTTATGCACCACCAATAGGTTTGTCACCTAAAGCAAATTTATTCATAGTTAACATTAATGGAGTCCTCTATGAGTCCTTTCACTTGTAGCGGACCTGTAAAGTCAAGTGTGTTAAGCTGTTGTCATTGTGAGGAGGCTGTGTAATCTACAGTATTAAGACGCACAGTCACGTTGGCAATGACGTGAGCACAAGTAAACAGGAACCATGAAGTCAAACTGCGGGGGACGACAGAGTTCAACAGAGCAATGACGCCAACACTACGACGCCCTTCCACACTGTCAAGAGCCATCAGATCAAGAGTTTGAAGGATCGCTCCTGCCCCTGACAAGCACTGAAGGGCAAATGTCAAGTCTAGTGTGATGAAAACCTTTGTCAGAGCAACATCTAAACCAGTTTAATACATAATCGAGTCTTCCGCTGCCTTGTGATTGACAAAACATGTCAAAAGGAATCAGAAAAAGGCAAGAATCCAAAAACAACAGTGAATAAAACAATAATGGAAATACTTTGCAGACTTCAACTGCAAATAATAGTTTTTTTTAAAAGCAACATTCTCTGAGGAATAAAGCAGAATGCAAATTAGCCTGCTTCTGAAATAAAGCAATAAAAATTCACAGACTCCAGAAGAGATCAGATAATATACCAAAATTATGCTTATTGCAGAAGATTTCACAGCTACAGAAACTGTCTTTAGAGTGTTTTGCATACACTGTTTGAGTTGCTCTAGCATCCGATCAAAGAAAATAAGCAAATATACACAAAATCTGTTATTCATTTTCCTTCAGCGTAATCCCTAATTATCAGGGGTCGCCACAGTGGAATGAACCGCCAACTATTCCAGCATACGTTTTACGCAGCAGATGTCCTTGCAGTACTGGAAAACACCCATACACTCTCAGATTTACACACACACACACACACTCATACACTAAGGCCAATTTTGTTTACCCAATTGACCCTTCACTAAGCCCCGTCTTCCTTAGTTACTGTTGTTACTCATGTCAAGCTTTCATGCCTGGCATGTCTATTGCAATATGTATGCGCCGGTGTCAGACATTCCTAGGGGTATAATTAATCAATTTTAGCAAACAGGTGAGATATCTGACAAAAAAAAAAAGAATGTAGTATGCATTACAGGGGTATATTCATGGCATAATACACAATCGATTTAAAAATAATTTAATCAAAACTGAAGTTAAAGCCTAGCCGCCTCATACACTGATCATTCAACAGCTTAATTTATGCACAGCAGGAGAGGTTAAATGTAAAAAATATTTATTTTAACAAATAAAAACCATGATTTCCCTTTTTTTTAAACCAAAAAGCCTGATAGACCATTGTTGTGCAATGAAATATAACGTTACTAACCGACAATGAAACACGCATGGACAGTGTTTCTACATAATTAATTTGTAGAAAGAACAGCCAGAAAGGGAAATTGATGGATTTGTGCAGAATATTAGTATCATTGACCCATAACAATGTACAGTAGCTAAACCTGTCAGTATGTTTATTATTCTAATTTGCAGTTGGGTAGAGAAAATAAATTAATTAAAATACAAATCAAAGTATAAATAGCAAAAGTGAACACAAATTTTCCCTACCAGCAAATATTAATCTGACACCAAAAATAAAAGCAGACACTAACCCGGTATAATATCGTCACCAATAAATAAATCTCCAAAAGACCAACGAAAATAGTGGGGAATTGTAGCTCTGACATGGACATGAGGGATATAAATTACTGAACAGCTGCGGTTGAAGTATATTAATCACAAGTGCTCAGTTTGTGATCACACTTCGGTTTTATTCTGTTGATATTTAGCTTCAAATACTCATAGTTTGAAACAGGTGGAAATATGATTGCTGTTAGTATGACTACTATTAGGAGAGCTTAAACGGAGCAGTGCTAATAATATCGAGAGAGAGAAAAAGAAAAAGACAGCTGGGAAACATATCCTGCTTTGTATTTTTGTAGGGAACACAGTTTAGATCTTTTTAGGGTAAGTGGTGTGAGAGTTATTGGCATCTAATTATCCCTGAATGTGTCGGGAATATCGAAAACAAAACCAACTTAACCCTGCTCTATTAGCGTCCCTCATAGAGCTTGATGCATGCTGGCATTCCTCCCCTTGGGTTTTAGGTTTTGGAAAGGGAAAAAAAATTCCACCACCCTGTCCAAACTTTTCGGATATCAGATTTGCATGATCCATTTGCACAGCACTTTGGCTTGTTTCCCTCGCTCAAAAGCTTGACATACACATAGCTATGGTTGCTTAGCTACGATTGGTGTATGGCTGTTTTCGGGTGTGGCTTAGCAAAGGGTCAATTCACCTATACTGCATGTCCTTGGACTGTAGAGGAAACCCACATTCTCCATCACAGGGAGAAAATGCAAACTCCACACAGAAATGGCAACTGGCCCAGCTGAACCAGCACCCTTCTTGCTCTGAGGCAACAACAAACAAAATCTGTGTTGAATGTAATTTGCATAATGAAGTATTACTAATTTGTATGCACGGGTTAACATGAATGGTGGGTGCGCATAAAAATAAAAAAAAACATAACTCATTAAGAGAAGAAGGACAAACCTTTTCGAACAGCTTTCAGTTGACTCAAATTAGCGATACACCAACAACGCACCATAACAAACCTCCTTTTCAGACCACGATGCACATGGGAGCACAAATGGGTGCAAATGCTTATCGTAGTCTAAGCATGAAGCAATCATGACAAGATGTATATAAATTGCAAGCGTAACACTTCTGGTTCACATATATGGTGACAGATTTTTAATAGATATTACTGAGCAACAGTTATTTATTAATTTGCAACAATACTTAGAGTTGTAAAGCAATACTTTGCTACAGCAATGCACATAATAATGATTTAGATGTTTTTTAGAGGCTGATTTCAAATAAAATACCACAAAACTTCCCATAATACTTTAGAATTGTATGTCGACGTTACAAATGTTGTCAAAAGTATGAAAAAATATGGTTCATATTCCTCAAAACATAGGGGGAGTCCTTGTATGGTCACCAATGGAAAATGAATGTCATCCGGTGGTGATGTGTGGTACTGCGGCCAAACAAAATCGTACTGAAAGCTCATTTTTTGAGATATCAACTTCAAATTTGGAATACAATTTGTATATATAAATTAGCTTACAATGAGTACATTTGGCGCCGTATTGCACCTATAGTGTGTGAAAGGGCTCAAGAGGTCAAGGGATTACTGATAATATGCATGACAGCTGACATACAGTACCTCGAGTCTGGATTCCAGCTCCGCAGTTCTCCTGAGCTCCTTTACTGTCTCTGCGGATGCTCCACGGAACCAGCTGACATTTACGCCATTTGTGTGTTTTCCACCTGCAAGTTGAAAGCAACTTCAGTATAATTTTCAGCAGACGTTGATCAGTTGGTGAATTGTAAATCCCAATTAGCCACCTTAACTTGAGACACATTGAAAAACCCACTGCTTTTGGAAAACAAACTCATTTGAATTAAGCAGGTCGATAAAATCCTAACTTTGTTTCATCAGGTTTATACTGAATGTGAATAAATGTGAAATAGATCAGTTGTGGGTAAAGACATACCTGTAACCAGGACAGACAGATGGAGCTGCGCAGTCTTTCTCTTCATAAAGGGTGTCTGGACACTCCTGACCTCCATTGGCTGGCCTCTGAATGATCACTCGATAGCGAGACTGCTTATTCTTCTGTCCATTTGCACCTGTCATTTCAAACAGTCAGTTCATATCATGCTTAATTATTCTGGCGGGGGGTAAAACAACAGATGGAGGAATGATGGAATGGAAGACAGACAGAAATATGGATGGAAGGAGGGAATGACGGATGGATGGAATGACGGACAGAGGGAGCAACAGATGATCAGACATAGAGACAGAAAGATAGAGCATTGAATGCAATGGATGGAATAACAAAGACGACGGATAGATGGATGGATGGATGGATGAATAGATGAATGAATGGATGGATGAATGGATAGATGGATGGATGGACGGATGGCAGACACAAAATTATGGATGGAGGGATGGAATGACAGCAAATGAGTGTGTATGGATGTTTCCCAGAGATGGGTTGCGGCTGGAAGAGCATCCGCTGTGTAAAACATATACTGGATAAGTTGGTGGTTCATTCTGCTGTGGCGATCCCAGATTAATAAAGGAACTAAGCCGAAAAGCAAATGATTGAATGGATGGAATGACGAACGGATGAAACAACAGGTGATCAGAAAAACAGATAGAAAGAGCAATGAATGGAAAAGATGAAACACCTGGAAGATGATGGATGGATGGGATGGAAGGATGGTTGGCAGACAGACAGAATTACGGATGGAAGGATGGATGGAAGGATAGAATGATGGATGGCAGACAGACAGATTTACAAAATGAAGGATGGAATGACGAATGGATGAATCAACAGGTGATTAGATAAACAGATACACCTGAAAGACAATGGATGGATGGATGGATGGATGGATGAATGAAATGAAATGAAAGACGGACGGAATTATGGATGGAAGAATGGAATGATGGATGGAACAGTTGGATAAAATGTATGTATGGATAGATGGAACAACTGGAAGAAGATGGATGGATGGAACAACAGGAAGACAATGGATGGATGGATGGAACACCTGCAAGACGATGGATTGATGGATGGATGGATGGATGGATGGATGGAATGAAAGACAGACGGAATAATGGATGGAAGGATGGAATGAAGGATGGAACAGTTGGATGAAATGTATGGATGGATAGATGGACCAACTGGAAGAAGATGGATGAATGGAACAACAGGAAGACAATGGATGGATGGATGGATGGAACAATAGGAAGATGATGGATGGATGGATGAATTGATGGATGGAATGAAAAACAGGTGGAATTATGGATGGAAGGATTGACTGGTGGATGAATGACAGATGAATTAAACAACAGGTGATCGGACAAACAGACAGAAAGAGCAATGAATAAAATGGATGGAACAACTAGAAGATGGCGGATGGATGAATAAATGGATAGAACGAAAGACAGACGGAATTATGGATGGAATGACAGGCGGATGAAATGATAAATAATTGAAACAGCTCATCAGATAAACAGACACAAGGAGCAATGAATAAAACACCTGGAATACGATGGATGGATAGAGGGATGGATGGCTGGAAGACAGACGGACTTGATGGAATACCTGGAAGATAATGAATAGAGGGAGGGAGGGATGGATGGAGCGGAAGACAGACAGAATTATGGATGGAATGACTGAATAAACAACAGTTGATCAAGTAAACAGACAGAAAGAACAAAGAATGGAATGGATGAAACACCTGAAAGACAATGAATGGATGGATGGTTGGAATGACGGAAAGACACAAAGACAGAGGGATAGAACAATAGATGGATGTAATGACTGACAGGCAGACAGAGACAGAATGATAGTATAAAAGATAAAATGATGGATAGAACAAAAGACGGACAGAACTGTAGACAGAACGGACAGAACTGTAGAATAATAGATACAATGATGAACGGATGTATGGATGGATGAATGAATAAATGGATGGATGCCACAATTGATAATCAGACAAAGACAAAGGAATAGTGCAACTGATGGACGAATAGATGGAAGGATGGAATGACAGACAGAATAATAGGTAGACTGATAGATGGATGGATTGATGATCAGAAAGAAGATACAACAAAGAATGGATGGATGGAACAGCATGAAATAGAATAATATATAGAATGATGGATTGATGGGTGGATGAATGGATGGATGAATGGATGAAACAGATGACCAGATAAACAAAGACTGATGGGCAGTACAACTGATGGATGAATGGATGGTAGGATGGAAAGACAGACAGACAAAATTATTGAATAATAGATATATGGATGGATGGAAGGATGAAATGACAGAAGAACAAGGACAGAACAATGAAAGAAAGATAGAAAGATAGAACAACGAATAAAAAGATAGAACAATGAAAGGATGGAACAACAAAAAGACAGAATGATAGAATAATAAACAGAATGATGGATGAATGGATGGACAGATGACTGCAATGACAAATAGACAGAATAAACAGATGGATGGATAAAATAATGGATTGCTACATGAAGACATCCAATAGACAGACAGAACAATGAACTGACGATTAAATAGGTAGAACAATACATATGAGCATCAGATGAACCTATAAATAAAGGAAAGAACAATGAATGTATATAAAAGACCAAACAAAATGACAGAACAACCGAGACAGTGATGGAAAGATGAAAGAATAATCAAATCAGGTGGACAAACAAACAGACAGATCAAAGGAAAGATGATGAAGGGAGAGAAGCCACAGAGAAGCAGATAAGGATGGATGGATAGATGTACCTGAATCACAGGAGGTGGGACACTCTGTCCATTCACTGTAGGGTGTCACTATACAGTCTCTCTTACAGGGCAGCTGACAGACCTGCACAGACTCTGGTCGAGGGGCTTCAGGACACCTAAAACAGACACATTGGAATATTACCAGCTCACAGAGGGAAAGAACATGCACATACATATTATTTGGCCACAAAAAGCAGTAGACTGCAGAGCACGCAAATATGGGTGTGGTTAGGATAGGACAATACTTGACAACTATTTGAAATCTGGATTTTGAAGCTTCAAAAATATGGAAAAAAAAAAAAAAAATCGCCCTTTAAATTTGTCCAAATTAGATTTTTGGCAATGCGCACTACTAATCAAAAATTACATTTTGTGTGGTCCAGGGTCACATTTTTAAGTGAACTTTGCCTATAGTTCATGGATAGATACAGTAGATACAAAGACAATAGATACAAATAGAGACAAAACAATAGATAGAACGATAGATAGAATTATAGATAGAACAATAGATAGTACGATAGACAGATAGATAGTACGATGGATGGATGGATGGATGGATGGATGGATGATGGATAAAACGATAGAAGGATGATAGGTAGATAGATAGATAGATATATAGATAGATATATAGATAGATAGATAGATAGATAGATAGATAGATAGATAGATAGATAGATAGATAGATAGATAGAATATCAATGTAAATGTACTAATGCTTTAATTAACAGCACATTTGTTTTAACAGGTTGCTAACATGTATTAGCATATTGTTAGCATGTTAGCTTGTATTTTTATTTTCAATTATTAACATGCTTTTTCATAGCGTGTTTTGGAAATTGGTCTTGAACTAGTTACAAGCATGTTTTATAATGCGCTAGCATTCTCATAATTTATTTTAACAATATTGCTAGCAGATGTTTAGCTGGTGCTAACAAATTCGCTTTCAACGGTTTCAACAGGCTGAAGCAGGTAAACAAATGAAAAGAATATGGATATTGATTGTTATCAATTTGCTAACGTTTTAACAAGTTACTAGCATATTTGTTTTTGCAAATTGCTAGCATTATTGGATACTTTTTAGATTTGCTTGCATGTTTGTTTTAGCAAGTTGTTAGCATGTTTTAGTGCTTTGGCATGTTATGGAATTTGGTTTAAGTTGTTATCAAGTCACTAGCACATTTCCAGATTACTAAATAATCACCAAAAGCAAGAAAAATATCAAGGTATCTAGCTATATCTCTATTAGTAATATTGTCCACCCTTACTCTGTACAACAGCTTACATCAGAATCCTTGCTGAGCATGGCAACATCTGTAGTACAACAATGCTTCTTTTTTCCAAATCATATTTGTCCTGCTCCATGATTGCATTATGTACCAGCCAGATGAAACAGATAAGGCCTAACATTCTGTTACAGTAGTCAGTCACGGCGTAATACTCTTCTTTTATCACTGCTACAGCTCCTCAATCCAAGATCATCGGAGGTCAGTTTTAATCTGCTCCTGTTATTTAAGCACTGCTCCAGCTCGGCTGAATTGCCTCGGATAAAGATAAACATTGATGCGACGGTCCAGCAGAGGGACATTCAGTAATCTGATCTTTGATCTAATCCTCCAAGCTCTGTGAAAGGAGTCGCCATGTGCTCCGTGTTTCAGGAGGGCTGCAAAAGCTGCAACTATACAGTAAAGCAACAGATACGCAAGGCTGATTGATTTGTATTATGAATACCAGAATAAGTAAATCCACCAGAGAAGCAAATCTGCTTTGGGTGTGCAAGGCTCGCATGGAGATTGGGTAACTTTCTGATTGAGCACTAGCAACATTTTAAGACATGCAACAATACACAGTTTTACTTTTATCTTAATGGATTTATGCAGTAAAGAACATGCAAACACTGCAATATGTTTTGCTAATATGTGAATAGGAAATAGATTTTTATTTACAGAAAAAAACAAATAAAAAAAATAAAAAAATGCAAAATAATTTAAGTAGTTAAAAAACAGTAATGAATGGTATTTTATTTCTATTTCAATGAATTGTGTGCCGTAAAGGACATGCAAACACTGCAAAATATTTAGCTAGAATAAAATTGTATGTTTTTCTCTTCTTTCATTCTTTTATATCGCATTTTATCTGTTTTTATGTTTTAATCATTTATTAATTTTTCTTATACTTGTTTCTTTTATTCTTGTTTATGTAAAGCACTTTGAATTGCCACTGTGTATGAAATGTGCTATATATAAATAAACTTGCCTTGCCTTGCCTAGAAACTCTACTGACTAACTTCACATGAGAAATCAAACTCCTTTTTACGATTTGAACTTTAAAAAGTGAATGAATTTTTGTGGTATTTTCTTTTTTAATTTTTCTGTAGTTTTTCTTTCATTCAGCGGTACTGGATGCGACAATAAAGTAAGGACTGATAGGAGAGAGCAGTTTAAATGTATTTAATACCGCTCGCCCAATGAAATAAAAACATACGTTTTACCCAGACAGTATAAACGCGTGTTCGGTGAGGATGATGTGACGAGTCTCGAGGAGACGTGTGCGTCTTTGGTACTTTACTGACTCGGTAGGTGCAGAGAATAGTGTCAAACCAATCACTGTAAAAGGTGTCAAACAGCCATGTGTGTATGTTCTGTAGCAAAATGCAGATAAAACTCCTTCACGATGTTAGTTTGATTACTAGGGGTGTCAAAATTAATTGTTTCTTCGGTGCACCGCGATGCAGACGCGTATAATTCAGTATCGGTTCAGTAATAATCATAACCGGTTATTATTTACTGACATCATTTATCTCCTATGCGTGAGGGAGGTGAGCGCGTGTATTTACAACACTCAATAGCCAACTCAGGGCCGGCCCGTGGCATAGGCAGTAAAGGCAAATGCTAAGGGCGCTGTACATCCAGGGGGGGGCGCCAGAAATGAGCGTGGTTAAATTGAGTTTTCGATATTCCTCACACATTCAGTTATAGACGGCAATAACTCAAAAACCTCTTACCCTAAAAGGATCTAAAGTGTGTTTCCTACAAAAAGACAAAGCTGGTTATGTTTCACAGCTATCTTTTTCTTTTTTTCTTTTTGCTCGACATTACGACCACCGCTCTGTTTAAGCCCTCACAATATGCGATTACCTGGGGGAGCTTGCGCTGAACGTAAGGGATCGTCGGAAAAGTGTTTCTTTTTTTCGTTTTGTTTTTTTTTTTGCTCCGCTCAGCGCTAGCTTTCCCAGCTAAATGCATATTGCGAGGACTTAAGTGTGTGTGTGTGTGTGTGTGTTTGTTTGTTTGGTGCTGTCTATGTTTGTGTATGTGTGTGAATGAGAGACTGTGATGCTGTGTGTCTGTGTTTATAGAGACAGCTTGTTATAGCCTCCCCCAAATATAACACTGTGTATGGAAAGCATCGTCAATGCACCGTGATGCACTGAAATATCGAATTAAACCGAATCGATGGCATGTTAATCGTAACCGAACCAAACCGAGAGACCAGTATAGGTTCACACCTCTATTGATTACGGTCTTTACATGTCTGTACTCCACAACAATAATGCAGTTGAAACAGGAATACTCTACATGCCTTAATTCCACTTGTGTTTACAACGATTGTGACTTTCAGCATATCTAAAGTGCTATTCTATCACATTGTTAATGTGTGGTTGCAGTTGGACGCGGCAGCCGCATAACTCCAGTGGAAAAAAAAGTGGTTATTCACACTCACCCGCCCAACTGAGTGACACGCGCAACTCCAAAGCTAGCCTGGGTTTCCAGGTGTGTGCAAAATACTTGATTTGCTGTTCCAATCCTGCCTCCAATCTTCAGTGCTAATTTCACCCTCACGCTCAATAACATCACTACTCACATGACAACTTTTCACCTTGACAAGAAATCTCTTCAAGATTTAATTTTGCGTGATTTCGTCATACAAGATTGTCACATCCCTAATGGATATATAGAAATTGTAAGTATCTCTCAGTGGTATTACATTGTTTTCATAATACCAGTAGCAGAAAATGTAAATCCTGCCAGAGATACACATTTGGTTTGGGTGTGCAGGGCTCTCCTGGAGATTGGGTACATTCCTTAGAGAACATTAGTAACATTTCAAAAATAGCAATGGGTTATTTTTAATAACATTTAAGTAGCTAGTACAATGGATGGATTGAAAGAAGGATAGACAGACATGACATGCATATATTGGTATTCCATTTATTCATAATACCAGCACCTCAAGTGGAAAATCCTGCCACAGAAACAATTCCTGTGTGGGTATGCTAGGCTCTCCTGGAGATTGGGAACATTTCTGACAGAGCATTAGCAACATTTCAAGACATGCAATAGCTCATTCTCAACTATTTAACAGCTAAAATAGCACCTGCTATAATTGGTTGAGTGTAAATGTTTACACCACAATGTCATATATGAAAATGACTCATTGAATAATAAAGCGTGTTATTGTTGCAAACAGAAAAGATTGGTTTGCAATGGGGTTTGGTAATGTTTTACAGTAAAATACAATTTACCATAGAAAGAACAAATGCATTGTTCCTCTTCCCTCTCTTGTCATTATTTTTCAATTAGGATTAACTGCCATAACTGGCAGCATGAAGTGAGGGATCACATTTCCTTGAAGGTTTCACTTAAGTAGCTCATTAGAGTTTCCAGTGAAACTGCTATAACACCGTTTGCTCACTGTTAATCACGTCTAATAGGATATTCCTTTAACGTAAACTTTTTTTGACCTGATAAGCACTGCGACCAGAATAAGACAACTATAATTGCTCTTCAAACTCATTAAAGCTCATTTCTAATAAAAAAAATATGAAATTGAATATTCAAAAGTGTGGACTAAATAGTAGTAATATATGTGTGATACAATAATAGAGTAACATATATAGTAGCGCTTTCAATAATAAGTTAAAGTTATGGGTGTGCAGAGGTCTACTGGAGATTGGGTAACTGTTCAAGACAGGCAATGACTTATTCTGAACATGTGTAAATAAAACAATGAATGAATGGACATGACATTATATATGATAAAATAAAATATGATTATATATACATACATA